AGTATATGAATTTGTTGACAAAGTGATAATGAATCATAATATGATATTATATACGGGGTGTTCCATTTGAAAAATCAAAGAAGCCGCTACTTTATAGTAGAAGCGACAACGCCGCTTCATCTGAAATATTTAAGGCGAGTAGGTCATATTGATTTATGCATACTGTGTAATTTTCAGGTTGATCCGTTAAATAGTTTGCCAGAAACGGCTAATTAACGCTCATCATGAAAAGCCCTGTATATCGAAAATAAAACTGTTGAAACCCTTTAAGCAACGTTTCTTTCCCCCACCACATCACCTGTCATTACTCTCTTTTTAGCTCGTCGGTATGTTCATAGAAAATCCTTCGTGTCGAGTTTGGAGCTATTTTTACGGTCGAGAGAACCCGCCAGTGGTCTCTACATCCCAGAATATAAAAATTCAGTTGGTGTGAAATTTCCCATAGCTGACTTGGGGCAAATGCCCTCTCGTGCTTATCGTGGCGTTAGTCACCTTATCACATTGTATGCAGGACTTAACATCGGTGTGCAGGTCTATTGGAAAATTGCTGCACAGATTTTCCATGTTATTGTCGGCACATGTTGGAGTGTCTGTTGTTATCAAATATTGATTGAAGAGGCAGCAGAAGTACAATTAGATGGAATATGAGGAGATAGTAGAAAAAATAGGTTTTTCAATTCATTTGAATGTGGTTATAGAGAAATGACTGAAATGGAAATTAGCAACAAAATGCTCGGACGGGTTTATGGAAAAACAAAAGTGGAAAAACAAGTTACAACAACATAAATGTGCTGGAAAGTTACTTCTTTGCATGATCCACACATATATGCATAGAGTTACTTCTTTTAAAACTGATTGCTTCTTTCCTTTCTGTGGAAGATTCCCACATTTTTTTGTATCAAGATGGAGTAGTAGAAATCCAAAAACTTTCTTTCCCAAAAACCAATAACTTCAAAAATATAACCCTTTCAATTCAAACAAGATTCCTTTGGCTGGGATTTAACCAAATAAGCGAATGAATGCCATTACAATGTTGTCGATGAATAGATCAAATACATTCCGTGATATAAACTCGTGTTTCATGAATTAATTGCTATAATGTTATCCATAATGATACTGAAGAGCCCTAAACAAGTGTCTTACGTCGAAACATCGAATTCTACCAGTGAGGATGACAGCGTTCCATGCAAGTTAAATTTTTACCTTTGATATATTACAGGATTATTGGATACTAGCCGTAATTGATTAAGATGACATCGGTGGTATAAATTATAAACGATAAAGGTCCTAAGATGTTACCCTGAGGTACTCCAGACGAATATTATGGAATGATACTCGTGCAGTTGTGGGCCAAAATTATTATCGTTTCTATCGATTCGAAAATTGTCTGCTTCGGAAAATATTTCGTAGATGCGTTAATCAAGTACAAAGTTTTATTTTTCGCCTGACAGAAACAGCTGTATATGATCTACCTTCGAAGATCGTCAAAGCTGAGCCCCACCCAGGAGGTTTCTTTTCTGCTAAAATACTGCGTCTTCGTCCAGGACCACAAAAATCCTGGAAAATCTTCCCGTGAATGTGTTAGATCCTTCAAGCTTTTCAATAATGTCCCTTGTTGCATTTTTATAGCTATCCTTGTTCTGTTATTCGCGGCAAATATCCCCACGAAAATTTGAATATATCGTCGATTTTGATTCGGTTTATTCAGATTTCCAACGATCAGGCGGTGGATAAGACTTCCACCGGTAGTGAAGCCGTTTCTGATTCCTGTCACGACTCAACAACTTGAAAATCAAACCCTGTTTTACATATTTTGCGACGCAAAATACTTCATCCACACTATTTAAATGCTAGAAGGGAATTCGGTCAGGCCTATCTGAATATGGCTGTTTGGTATTCAGCCGGTGTCTCCGGGTTCGATTCTATAAAAACTGAGAAATGTCGGATACTGCAAAGGACGCTCTGCTAATATATTTTCTAGTTTTTCTGCGAATAATTGTCTCTCATTGTATTCGGACATCGTCGGTAAAATTCATAAATACATGATGCAACGTTTAATTAGAATGATCGATCTTGTTTTTGTGACGTGCAGCTCATTAGTTTTGCTTTCTGTGACGGAGATGAATTTCATTTGCAAATGGATCATGATCATCATTTCCCCCATATCTGAAGAAGCATTTGACACTTCATTGATTCTTATTCTGATTACAGTTCCAATTTGAAGAGATCAGAACTATAGTTTATACAATAATATCCATTCTAAACTTAAAATGGTTCACTCCAAAGTCAACGGCTGAAATATCCAAATGAATTCAGTAAAATTCAAACTAACCCAAAAAGTTCGTTGCTTGTTCGTAATTTTTTGGCCGAAAAACAACGTAATCATGCCTTAGCCACCACATTCACCNAAATGAAAAAGATGAAAAACAAAAAAAAATAACAAAGGACCTAAAATAAAATTTGAATTGTGATAGCGGGTACAACATTCAATTCATGAGGCGGATATCGATACTAGAATTTAGACTGTCCTTTATTCAATTACTTTTAGAGTTACTTGTGAAAGTGGAATGAATATTGACAAACGAACTCTTAAATCAGATAAATCAAATATATTTTTACTAGATTTGAGTGCATTTTATTGCAATATTAAGTTCAGACATTGATTTTGAAAAATGCCATGGATTTGAGGTAGACCAAATCGTCTTTTTCGACAAACTACTCAGTCCAAATGAATAAATAACCAATTAAACCATTTATCCATATTGAGCGAAGGATACTTCAAATTTCAGTCAGATTCCGCTCCAAAATTCAAATTCCCCTCGTTGACATCGATATCTTTCTAACGTGATGTTAATAAGAGTTGTAAACGTGTGTTACAACACACGAGGCCGCTAAAATTTCAGAAAAACCGCCACGTCATCACGAGATTGATGATCTCTTTGAATAACCCCGTGTCAGACATTGTTGTTGAGCAGCAACCCCAATCTGTTAAGGTAACCGCTTTGTTATATCAGCTTGGGCAACCAATGGAAATACCAAATCAACCCTTTGAAAACGACACCCTTGCGCTGGCACACGCCATTTTAGGATGGATTACAGTTTCAAGTCTTTTGTTGCAGAGCTAAATTGCTTAGATGCCCTTTACAGTTTATAATTTATGTGAATTAAAGTCAAAATCGGTTTGGAGCGCGTGGAGGGGATTCAATTGGAATTATGCTGGCTTTATTATGTGCAGAAGCGGATAAATATTCGGCCTGCATAATAGAATAACTATTAAAACATTTGAAAAATGTAGAAAAAAATAAATTGACGACGTTTCGGCTGTTAAGTTGTGACAGTTGGCATGGGACGCCCAGAGACAATTGAGGTTATGACATTTGTGCGTAAATCTTGCACAACAAAGTCGTAATGTAATGGGCTTGTTTCGTGCTATGGAAAATGATACTGGTTTGCTTATAGAGTGATCGAGTTAGGGGCATATTATACTTATCAAGCGTAATCGGTCCCAAAATCTCTTTATATATGCAGAAAAAAGAATGATTTACTGCAGATGTGATAGAAATCTCACGAAAAAATTGTTTTCAGTGTTACCAGGTTTATTGTTTTTGTTTTGGTTCCATTGTTGGACAATTAAAATTCACTGTCAACTCAGTTTATTTTCTATAAATGACTCTCGTTAGTACCTGATCCTGATAGACTTGCACTAGATTCTCCAACCTGTCCTACAGAAAAATGGTTCGAGTTGAACTTACACCCAAAAATGGCAAGAACTAGCTACAGATATGTTGCTTAACTACTGGTGCTTGTACCACTTGTAAATATTCTTTTGACTCGGAGTTAGTGGTAGAAATTTCAGCAGATATCTCTCTCAGACTTGAACAGCGATTTTCAGTCACCATTTTTTTCACTTTAGCGATGTTAAGTTCAGTTGAGGATGTTGATGGCCGCCCGGAGCGAGGGAAATTTTTGAGGTTAAATAACTAATGGAGTACTGTAAACAAACTAGGCGACAGATGGCGTTCAAACTCCGCGTGTGTATAGAAGACAGTTGCACCAATCTAGCTACAAAAATAATTTTGACAGCGCGGGCTTTTTGAATGATTGATTCCCAGTTCTGACAATGTATATTGAAAATCACGAATGTAAAATCCAACAACCACCATTACTCACCCTCCATTCTTCAAAACACTATGATTTTCGAATTTCTCGTTTTAAAAAAGGGGTTCGCCTAATAAATTCCGAATTTATTGATATAGGCGCGAACTGAACGTAATCATAATTCACATATGGAGCAAGGACAATCGATTATGGAGTATTTCACGGATTAACAGCGTGTTTCGTCCTTTTGACTGCAGTCAACACCCTTTCCCTTAACCGGGCCTCCCTCGCAACCCCTAAACGTTCTTTGATCGAGGAGTGCTTTGAAACACGATCATTTATGATTGATGGATGGTATCATCAGACTGACGGAGCAACTGTACCTCATCTCCTCGAGCTGTGGCCGTTTCAATTATTTTATAATGCGATCAGTTTTTGTCTGGTCGAGTGTGACTCATCATTGGTTCGGTTTTGTGTGGAAATAGAGATAAGGAACACCGAAGGAATATCCTGCTCCTTCCGATGTGTGCCTGCTTCGAAACCTTTCCATGGAACAGAAAATTGGTTCGCCTGATTTTTTGGCAAGTAGAAAGTTATCAGAACGTTTAATGTGCAGGCTAATTCACGCTGTATGGAACATTAGACGTTTCTGGTGAACCAGACAACGGATACGTTTTAAAATTTGTTGGAGAGCATATTCGGATATTCGTAAACAACTAAAATATTTTCGAAAATGCGGAGTTGCCACTTTCATTAGAAAGTAGTAGCATATTTGATTTTTCAAAAAGAACANTTTTTTAAACAAAAGTTGGAGGGAATTCAGTCCTCTACAATATCAGTAATGAATACAAATGGCGAAAAACCCATAGGAAACGAGATTTTTGAAGAAAATATGTCACAAAATCGATTTTTATGACCTTTGTCCTTAGATTTCAATAGTCGCGTACACTCTACCATATGTAGGTTTCGAGACAACTTCATGGATGTCAAAATTCAAGTTTATACGAGTTTATAGCTGGGTATCGCAAATTCCGTGGTAGTTACCCTAATTTTGACTAAGATGACTGGACTATTGCATGAAAATCGAAACCGTTTGAATCATATACGCTACGACGAGGAGGAAACAAGTCGTTCATCGCAAAATACATCCACCCCTAAGGAAGTATTACGTTCATAAAAAACCCTAAGTAGTGTATAACCCTTTTTAATAAAGAACATAGTCACGTGGCAGGGGTTAAGAGACACGTGTTGTCGCTTGTTGAATTATATAAAGACACAATTTATTAAAGAAACTTTACGGTTCACGGAATGTCAGGGAAGAATGGCACCATTTAAGGAAATCGGGAGTGTTTTATTGATTGATCTGTGATTGGTCAGGAAATATGAAACCCAGAAGCTGATGAAGGATTGTATATAGTTTTGTTGTTAATAGAATTATTAGAGTTGACAAACTGAGCGAAGAATCCAATAAGAATCTTCAGTTGTCTTTTGTTTCATCAATTCTATTTCTATTTTAAACACACGTTTGAATTGAAAACGCGGATTTCTACCGATCGGGAAAAACCACAACAAAACAGCAACGTGTCGGTTTCAACAAAACAAAACTTGAGTTGTCAAAATAACAAACATTTTGACGACTTTGTGGTTTTGTTGTTTTGTCGGTGTTAGTGTAAAAGAAGGTAGGCGACAACAAGAAGCAACTATTCAGACATAACATATATGTGATTTGTATTCTGTTTGAAAATTTTTGGTCCTACTACATTTAACAAGTTCTCAAATTTGTGTTTGGACATTCTTAGAAATTTACAAAACGATGATCTCATATCCATTCATTCCTATGTCATCATTTATCTCAACAAATTGACAAAATTGGGACTCTCTAACCAACTGATTACTCTAATTGAATCATATCTAGTTAACAGAAAGCAATTCGTCGAATATGAATCTTTCAAATCGGCCCAGTACGTAGTTACATCTGGGGTACTACAAGGTTCTGATCTTGGACCTATTTTATTTTTTATTAATGACTTGGCAACNTCTACCTCCTGGGGTGCCCCAAAAGTCTCCGAGCGATTCTCATGCAAAGAAGATTTGGAAAAGCTGTTTACATCGTGACTAGCACTGAGAAATTATATTTTTGCTGGAATCAGTGAAACCTTGGAATTATAATATATGATATACAAACAAATTTTATTGTGTCCCTATTTGAAACAGCTTTCTTCTAACTTTCTGATTTTACAAAAGCTTTCGTTCTTTTGATATATTTTCGCTTCGGTTTTGCTCTGGATCTGATGATAATCCTGTTGTCTGAATTTTCTACACGGTTTTTTAATATTTCCATTTTTGTTGTTTTAATATTTTGTTCTAGATGTGATCACTTGGTGTGTTGGTATTATTTTGCATGAATTAATTCAACAGTAGACTTTTCTTGCCTGATTTGTGAGTTTCATTTCTTGTCTTTTTTAAGATTGGTTTGTAAGTTTCGTGTTTTTTATTTTTGTTAATTAGTTACTTAATAATCACCGGAAAACCTCGTCATTCAATGCTTTCCCTAACTTCCTATTTTCAAGTGATTACATACAGGGAAATACTTTATATGCGTTTTCCCAATTTAATAAAATATTCAGGAAGTAGTTATTGAATTGTTTGAACATTGTACATCAGATATTTTCCTTTTTTACTGTTTTATATACTAAACACTTTGAAACGTTATGTATCATGTGAATGTGAAGAATACTGACGGCTATAATATTTGAAAACATTACTCACCATTGTGTGATGTGGGAGTTGAAGGTATTTTTTCCAACCTTGTATTCGACCGACTTTCAGCTGAAAAAAAAGTGACTGGTTACTAAAATTCAGTTTACACAGATTCTAGTTTCTCAAGTAGATATAATATTACAAGTGAATGGGAGATTGTATTGCATTTTCAAATTATAATGCGGTTGTTTTGAATTGAAGAGGTGGCCCTACGAAATGTTGCAATTCGTAATTCAAGTCAGAAGATTATCTCTTGTGTTGTAATAAGTACTCTCAAATGAATTATGACTACAAAATCTGTGCATATCTTTTGAATAATCGACGATGAACATCCGGCATATTTGTGTAGACCCGAATACTTTAAAAACGGCAATCTCGAATCCAAATCACAAATAAAATTCGAACCTCTCCTGAACGAAAGCGTCTGTGAGTTATGAATTTTGGATGATCTTCGAAAGGAACGCACATTTGCATGTGAGGAGATACGTCTATAAATCTATATTTTATGTGATATCGCGTGCCGGCCGAATATGGATATGAACGGAAGATGAATATTTAAAAACTCATCATCAAGAAATGCATCTAAACCGCAGATTATTGAAATATTTAAACCCAATTACTATGCACGTGTTCGGTGTTTTTCTGATATAATATCGATGGAATTTGAATTAGACAAATTTTTCTTGGTTATATTTTTTTATCTGAGGAAATTCCTTTTTCTATACAACAAAACTTTCCAAGCACAGTTTCGAAGCAGGTTCTTACAAGTTTTCATCTTCAGAATTTATTTTTTGCTTTAGATTGGATCAGTATTACCATGAACATAGATCACATTTGTCAAAAGTGTATACATATAAATACAGTGTGTAACAACGAAAACTCAACAGAGCCGTCTTCAAATATAAAAAGTAAGATTTTTGAAAAAAGCTCGGACACGTCGATTTCTAATTGAAGAGGGACACCTTTCAGACTAATCAGATTTTTTNTAAAACAGTTTTTTAAACTTTTATGTGTCATCAGCATTCAAGGAAATCAGCAGGTTGTATTCGTTGTATAGGTAAGTTTTTAGTATGATTCACTTTTTTATCAGAAGCATGAAATATCCACGTCAAAAGGCAACCTTCATAAGAAGGTGCCCCTCAATTTACCTAAAATGTAAGGGTGGTAACCAACCCCATCCCCCGAAAAAATCTCCTCGTAATAAACAGAAATTCTTACATTTATTAACGAAGGAGTAGAGAGCCTTTTTTCTTCTTCTTCCCAAATAGGGTTTGTAAGTTCTATTTTATGAATCTATTTTTCGATTATTGTTTCGGTTTTCGAAGTGATCTAGTTCTAACTCATACAGTAAAATTTTTTCCAGTGATTCTGACAGGTAGATAACTATAATTTTTCAGAAATACGAATAGCCTTGTTCCAAGGAAGTCGAAAGTAATCCATTATCCGTCGTAGAATTAACCAGAGAAGTTGTTTTTCTGGCAACGTGACGGTCACGTGACTAGAGACTGTGTTCTGATTGGCTAGACGAATGAAAGAGTAAATAGAGTTTGGAAATAGCAGCTTTCTCTCATTTTGTAGTAGTGTTTTCAGTGAAACTGATGAAAACATCTTTTGTTTTAGTTTTTTGAGGAATAAATAGTTTTATATGGTTTATATAGACTAATCTACCCTACACTACACATAAATCAAAAAAATGAATGAAGAAAAATCAATATTACCTGAAGAATAAGATATATTCCACAAAAGTAATATTCAGACTAAGTATTTCGATGAAAAAACCGTTAAAAACTGTTTGAATCGAAATTTGTGCAATCGAATGCTTATCGTGGCCACACCCTTCAACCTATGATTCGTGTCCTATTAGCAATGACATAAGTCACAATCGTAATTTTCAAAGTAAAATGTGATAAATTGACATAGTGACAAAGTAGCCATGCGATGCCACTGCTGTCTTTAGACGCTGGTGACTAGATACGTGGTATTTTGCTAATCATTTACTTTTTGACGAGCACTATATATATATCCTCAACCAAATAATGTCCTTCTACACTGAATTCATTCTATCGAATGAACAGATCCTCTCCCTGAGCGCCCGAAAGTGAAATTTACAGCAACACCGTCGCAGACCAGGATATATGCAAAAGCCCAGCTATGGGGTGAAAAATAATAGCATAGGGTCAGTTTTCCCGCGAGAGTCGTAAGAAGTAAACTATCCAGGACGACTTCAGACGGACATCCAGGCCGCAAAAGCTCTCCTTATGTCTCCACATTTATAAATAAGAGACGTTTCACCGAGTTGTATAATGTACCCCAATGCGAAAGCATTATATTACATGAAGTACTCAGGGAAATGGATAGAGTCATTTTGGAAAGGAGATATATTATACGAGAGTATTAAACATCCCCCACCCCTTTATGTGGTTTGATATTAGTTAATGGGAGCTGCTTCTACATGTAGGGGGTAGGAAAGGGTTGGAAAAAACTTGTGGTATCAAACGTTTCGTTTATTACTGAGACAGCCATCTTCAGTAGTGTATGCGGCGGCTGGAGAACTATAAAACTTCTTATTGAATATCTTTCAGGTAGACACAGCGATGAGTTATACTTTCATCATACGCATTGATTATGATGCATAGGAAATTTTTCTTTGAAAGAATGTGATTGGTTTCACTTAGATAATTAATCATGACATGAAATGACATGAAACAATTAATAGATAGATATATAAACACAAAAATGTGTTGATACATACGTCAATAAAAACAGAAGCAATATTTCTACATACCACAGAAAATGATAGTGCAAAAAACAACACAAAAATAAGCCTGGGATGACAAATTTAAAAGATTTGTTATAGCCACATTGTATTATAGATCCGTCATCGGGATCTTCAGAATTCTCACATTAACTATACTGAACGTAATACTGTTCACATAAATAATAAATATTTTGAATGAATAAAGCTACTGATTAGCTTTATTATTATGCTATCGTGTTCAAAATCATCTTTTGCTGGAGAATAACGGTTTTTCTGTTGAAACAATAAGGCTGTCATTTTGATACCAAAAAATGTACAGTGTGTAAAAGCCAAATTCATCAAATTCATTATTTCGGTTACTATATTGAAAAAAATCCCGAAACACGTCAAATGTAAATTATAATTTGACATTCTTCAACGCAAAAATGCCACCCCTACCAACTCCCTTCAAATGACAAGTACAACCTCCAATTTTCCAGATGGGTTTGGAAGGTTTCTTCATTCTCTATTCAAAAATGTTATCTCTTTCAAGTTTATTGCAACAATTTAGATAAAATAAATCAAAATCATATGGTTACCGAAATTCGATAAAATACTCTTAAAAACAAAAATGTAATGCAAAATGCAATGAAATGTAGAATACGAAAAAGAACTATGTATGTTAACGAAGAAATTGTTCAAAATGTTCAACGAGAACGTCTTAGCAACATCCTAATCTCAAATCAAACTGTCTTCTAATATTATATAATATATCAGTCGTGACCGACCTAATCGCAAGCGTTATTCGTTCTTTTAAGTCATTCCAATCTGAAGGATTACTTTTGTACCCATTGCTCTTTACATATCCACGTGAAAAATCCAATGATGAAAGATCAGGTGATCGCGCTGGCCATTGAATCGATCCTCGCCTCTCTATCCCCCGATTGGGAAATGTATCTAGCTATTGTCGGACATTAACTTGGTAATATGGTGGTGCTCCATCCTGCTGAAACCATATCGTATTCACTTGAGGGTTTCTTGGATCAGGATATAAATTTGCTAAACTTGGAATGACATCATTTTGAAATAGTGCCAAATGATTATCGTCATTCAAGTTGCCCTCAGTGAAAAAGGGACCAATGATATGGTTTACTACAATCCCTGCCCAAACATCAACCTTTCAGGGTATTACATGTGTTCTTCTCTCATCCAGTGAGGATTTACCGTTAACCGATAGCGGCAATTTTGCCGATGAGCTCTATTTTGCCTATTGTTCCTTGAGATATGGGCGATAAATTAGGAAATTTGTTATGAAATAGGCGAGCTTCTTCCTGTTCTGTTCGGGTTTCATCTCCGTAACCAATCATTTGTAAAACTGTTATTTTATGCATTTCTGTTAATCTAACCATTTGTCAGACTTGAAATTACCGAACTCAAAACTTAAATTGAAATACTGACAACTGTAACATACAAAAAAAGTTGACAATGCGGTTTAAACTAAGGTTGCTACGGAAATTATTTACAGTTTTTTAAAGGATACATTCAAAAAAGAACATGGCTATGGTTCTTGCTTACGTTCTTATTATCAATACCTCAACATGAAATTAGTTTTGAGTATATTGTAATAAGTGTATTTTATCGAATTTCGGTAACTAATGATTTTAATTTATTTTATCTTGATTTTTGTAATAAACTTGAAAGCGATAACATTTTTGAATAGACCAATAAAGAGACCTCTCAAACGATATATCACAAGCCTATAGTTTCCGTTTAAAAAATTGGGGGTTGTACCTGGGGTTGAAGGTAGGGGTAGTATTTTTCCGTTGAAGTATGTCAAATTATAATTCAAATTTGAAATGTTTCAGGATTTCGTTGAATTATGTACCGTAATCGAAATAATGAATTTATTCCATTTTGCTTTTACACTCTGTATATTTCATTGATTTAAAGTCGCTTTGTATTAGATTTAGAACAAAAGTACAAGGCAAGTCCTCAGAAAGTCTGTTTAGCTCAAATTTCTCTATAACCGACTCATTCATTAATTTACAAAATATCACTGACAACTTTGATATATCGAAGACATTACAGAAACTTCGTTAAATATATCCTCATTAATTGCAGTTTCTGTTGTTGATAGCTTTATCGGGCGGAGGGCATTCTATATATATCGGGAGGCAATTATGAAACATTATTGCCTTTTTCTGGGCCGTTAATTTTTTCATATTGGTCCGGCAAGGCAAATTAATAAATTTTTCTAGCCCACAATCAATCTAAACCTTTCTTCCATTTCCCCCTTTGGCTTCAATGTCCTCTAGTTTCATAACGGTGTAATAATTGTGCCGGATTTTATT